ATGCCTTTGTCCTTGAGCATTTTGACCAACTTGGGGTCTACATGCCCAAAAATGCGATGCCATTTGTCCCAGGATATCTGCCAACCAAGTATTTGGTGGGAGATCAGTGGGCAAGGCTGGGCTCGTGGCCATTAATGCGAAGTCAGATGCGGTATTGTGATCTGTTTCTTCGGTTACATGCGCTCGGCCTGAGTGCCGTTGATTGTTCTGGCACGGCTGACCCTTTTGCTCCTTCGAGAAAGTCTTTCCAGCTTTCATATCTCTGCAGTCTGCAATGACATGCCCTTTCCTGCCACACCCATAACAACATTAGAGTTGCACTTGTTCTGTGGGTGTTGGAATTTGGCTGCAAGCGCAACTTCATCAGAATTTGGCTTGGCAGCCCGTTGGAGGTCTTGTTGGTCTTGTTTGAGGATATGGGTGTTTACACATCAAAACTGTTCACCAAAGTCCTACATGCCAAATCAGCGAAAAATGAAACTCATAAACTGTCAGGAGCACCTCATTAATATGATTCAAACACATATAATTTCGAGTGATTTGAGTGAGAATTGCACCCACTACTATGGCGGTCCATTTGCACTTTTATTCATTCAGCATATTTTCTGGCTTTCACTGGTGGAAGTTTGAGTTTTTGAGTGAAAAAATTGGTGAAAATTAGTTTGGGTTTTACACAAGTTTTTCGCCAAAAATGTAGGTGAAAAACTCTTGAGTTTTTCAGCAGTTTTCCATTTTATTTCGAAAATTTCACCTAAAATTGGAAAACTTTTGAAAATGATTCAAGGTTTTTACCTACATTTTTGGCAAAAAACTTCTGTAAAACTCAAAACATTTTTCACCAATTTTTTCACTCAAAAACTTGAAATCTTCCACCAGTGTTTTCCAATGTTTTTTCAGTCCTTTTTGCCTACTCACCAACTTTTGCTGAAAACATACAAACTTTTATTCCCACCAGCTTTTTTTTTTTTTGATACTGTTATATCTGTGCAGCTTCCGAGCTATCCCGAGCTTTTCCAAAGTTCCGAGGTTCCCGAGATCTTCCGAGGTCTCCGGGATTTTCCGATATTTCGGGCTTCCAGGTTTTTACGCAATGAAGGCTTACTGAGCGTTTCCTGTTTTAAACTTACTTTATTCTCATCGTACTTCTCGTTCTCGAGCGGTCTTCACCGCTCCGCACATCTCACTTGCAGCTTCTTCTGTTTCTGATTACTTAATATGGAAATCAGACTTTACGGCCGTACATAATTATTACTTTGTATAAATATTCTGTACACTTGTACTGTATGCTATCTCACTGGTTGAAGATTTCAATTTTTTGACTGAAAAAACTGGTGAAAAATGTTTTGAGTTTTACAGAAGTTTTTCACCAAAAATGTAGGTGAAAAACTCAAGAGTTTTTCAGTAGTTTTCCATTTTATTTTGAATTTTTCACCTGAAGTTCAAAAACTTTTGAAAATGATTCAAGTTTTTCACTTACATTTTTGGCGAGAAACTTCTGTAAAATTCAAAACATTTTTCACCAATTTTTTCACTCAAAAACTTGAAATCTTCAACCAGTGTCTGGAAAATTATAAGTTCCATGCTTCCACTCATGGACTGAGTCTCTCCTTTGTCTTCATCTTCGCCTCGACTCCGGATCTATATTTAGATCTCCAGACGTCCTTTCATATTTCGACTTCGCTTCTCTCTTACGCCTTTTGATGATCCAACGATTCCGACTTTCCGCATTCTCGGCCGATCCGGGCTGATCATCCCTCCTCGGGATTTGCTATTTTGACATCACTGGTATTCGCCTCACCAATTCTCTTGGATTCCGAGCTCCGAGCCAACTCGGACTATTTTCGGATTTCTCGGATCGCTCGGACCTCGGCATTGGCCTCTTCCTCCTTTCGGAGTCCTCGGCCTCGGCCCCTTCTTCCTCTTGGAGCTTTTGGTCATTTCAATGCCTCGGATTCTCAGATCACTCGGGCATCGGCCTCGGGCCTCTGACCTCGGCCTTGGCCTCTTCCTCCTTTAGGAGTCTTCAGCCACCGCCTCCTTGCCCTTCGGCACTTTCCGCTTCTCAGGTCATTCCGTCAGCCCATCCGGGAATTCCTCGGAATCTTGCCTTTGCTTCTCTTTCGTTAGATCTTCTTCCGGCCCTTCGGCCCTTTACCTATTTATTCATATTCTTCCCTTATTGCCCTTTGGCATTCCTCTTTGCTTCGCGACCGTCATTGCCATCAGGCATGACATGGCATCAATCCTGTTGCCATTTCTAGACTAGTACCATTTCGGGCTAGCCTTTCGTGTTGCATTGCACTTCCGTCTCGTCCCAGCTTGACAGCCAGACAGTCGCACACCCTGCTGAGTGTGGTGCTTGCGAGAACAAGCCAACCCCGGGACTTCCAGTCCTGCCCGGGTTTTCGGAACCTTCTGGTTTTGGACCTCATCGGGGCCTGTTGATCCTTCTTCAGCTCAGGATATAACAGATACTTGAACAAGAACACTTTTTTTTTTACGCAACTGCAAGCCATTGTTTTATTTTGGGGTGATCTGAGTCATCTGGAGACCATGTGACTGGGTGCCCATTTGGGATATCTTCAGTCATACAGCCCAGCACTGTCAGAATCAGAGGCAGAAAGGGACTAGGAGGTGTGCCATAGCATTTGCTTTGACATTGATAGCCATAAACTGTCAGTAGCAATACAAATAGCAGTGTAGAGCTGGGTAGAGCCATCTTGGAGTCATCAGAGCCTTTCATTCAGATGTTTTCATGCTCTGGGGATATTCCATGATGCAGGGCCTCATCAGTGAGACTCAAGAAGGAGTATGAACTGATTAGAAGTGCATCTGAGGATATCCTGAGCTCATATGTGCTACAAAAGCTCTGATAACACGTAGAAGTTGTGTTATTTGCTAGTATATCTTGATCCCAAATGGACGTGTCTGGTCACATGAGCTACCATGCTGTATGCAACCAAAATAAAACTTTTTTTTGACAAGGGTAGAAATAAGTTAGGGAGACAAGGGAACATGTATTTATAACATCCAAGAAACTTTTATCACTAAAGTCTGAGAAAAAACACAGGACAGTGAAAAGGACTGAAAAAACACTGGAAAAGCCAGAAAATATGCTGGATGAATAAAAGTGCAAATGGAATGCCATACACTACGGGCTGGCGTAGTTTAGACATCAAAATTGCTCTTCTTTTTTTTTTTTTTGGCGGACTGTCATCAATTATGCAAACAGCTGTAATATGAGTGGACTAGATCTTGAAGTTAATCATTAGAATGGAGTCAAAAGCTTTGTGAATACAAGATGTAGTCAAAAATGTCTATTTAATAGTTAAATGGCCCAAAAAAGAAAAAGACCGGAGATGCATGGGAATTCAGATTCAGATTGATGTACCAGATGCTGAATGACAGAAGTCGATGTCCTCAATGGACTTTTAGGGAGGAAATTCATAAGGACAATTTATCATAAGAGCTGGTTGTATGTGTATTCAAATGTATTTAAGGTGAGGGTGAAGATCGAGGAGGCAATGAAGATCCACCTTCAGTAGTAGAAGGAGGGCTGGAAGTCTTGCGGCACTTGTTGCTGCCAGCCACCAGGGTATCATAAGACCAATGCGTGCGTCCGCTTGTGGTCACTGGAGTCAAAGCAGAAGAACTAGCAGCTGATAGAGACAATAAATGAATACACCCAAGATGCAAGCAAAAACATACCTGGGCTATCTTTGGTACTCGTACTTGCAAGTTGGAAGTGCCAAGGAAGGCAACATTTTCGACATCAATGCAGAAAATTCCTTGATCTCACTGTTCTCAAGGCTGCTGCTGATGCGGGTGATGTAGCCCGTGAACATGACTGTTGGAGTTTAACTCCGAAGCTTAAGGAAACCATGGGAATGTCATGGAACCTTCCGGAAACTTCCCGCTCTCTGTGTTGGCTTCACTGATGCATCACTCAGTCAGCCTCGGGGATATTTACTAACACTTAGTAATATTCCTGGACTTCAGTAGATAGTTCTAGATACTTTCTGTAGTATAAAAGCTGGCTAGTTCAAGCCATAATATTCTTCTTCTTCTATTCTGTATCTCATTAGGTTATGGGCCCCGGCCCTAGCTGAACTTCTCTTGAATCGTTGTTCTATATAGAACTCAGCCTAATCCGCTCAACCAGATTCGCTCTCGGGCATCACTAGCCTAATCCGCTCAAATAGATTTGCCCACATATCACTTCTGACATCACCATGTCCGATGCTACCACATCTGCTTGCCGCATTCAGCATCTCCTTGGAGAGGAGAACTACCAGACCTGGTCCGTTGTGAGCCATCACATTGTGATAGCTCCCGACGTAACCTCAAAACACCGAACTCCGAGAACAACGCCTTAAGCCATCAACGTAAAAATGATATCCGGACCCAACTAGTGGCTTGACGGAGAATCGAACTCCGAACCTTCCATCAACCAATATATGAATGCTATAGGTACACGGAATGCGTTACCATTACGCCAACAAGCCATTCGAGAATCGAACTCAAGACCACCAAGGACTGACTCTGAGTTAAAAATGTTATCCGGACCCAATCCATGGCTCCCCGGACTTTCCGTCAACCGATATATAAAATCAGTAACACGGAGTGCGTTAGCCACTACGCTACCAAGCCACTCAAGAAGTCAAACTCAAGACCACCAAGGACCACAAGTTAAAAATCATATCCCGACCCAACATGGCTTGACGGAGAATCAAACTCCAAACCTTCCATCAACCGATATGAGAACGTTAGGTACACGGAGCGCGTTACCATTACGCCACCAAGCCATGACCGGACTACCAAAAATGCCAATAAGACCGGGAAAAGGAATGGTTATCGTCAAAAGGCTTGATGAAGAATCGAACTTCGGACCTTCCGTGATATGCGAACGTTACATATCGCTACGGAGCGCGTTACCACAATGCCAACAAGCCGTACAAATGGCCGAGACGATCGCTGCAAAAAGAACGGTTTCCGTCAAACGGCTTGACGGAGAATTGAACTCCGGACTTTCCGTCAAATCGATATAAAAATGTGCATATTTACAGAGTGCGTTACCATTACGCCATCAAGCCGTAGGAGTCGAACGACCAGCCAAGATGATCACCGTAAAAGAAGGGTTTCCGTCGGAATGGCTTGACGGAGAATCGAACTCCGGACTTTCCGTCAATCGATATAAAAATGCATTAGATCATCACGGAGTGCGTTACCATTACGCCACTGAGCCGTAGGAATTGAAAGACCAGCCAAAACTATCGCCATGAAAAAGAAGGGTTTTCTTCATAATGGCTCAGCAGAGAATCGAACTCCGAACTTTCCGTGAAGCATACCGCGAACTACATAGGAATGCGGAGTGCGTTACCATTACGCCACTGAACCGTTCAAAAACGCGCCCTATCTTCTTACTCGATGGACAAAAAGAACATAAAGGCCCGTTGGAGATTCGAACTCCACTCCATGATTTCAGTTTCCCACCAGCTACGTGAACCGAGTGTGTTACCACTACGCCACCGGACCATGTGTGCAAGCGATGTGAAGGTCCGGTAAGAGGCGCACGAAAAAGGAATGGAAAAGAGGGATGGCTCGATGGAGGATTGAACTCCGGACTTCCTGCAAAAGACACGCTTGTGCAAGAACCATGGCAGGATGCGTTACAGTTACGCCATCGAGTCGTGAATACCAAACGGCCCGAAAGGATGGAACGAGGACTCCGGGTAATCAAAAAAGGTGGGTAGCATGGGAAAAGGGCTCGACGGAGGATTGAACTCCGGACTTTCCGTAAGTCAAACACTGGGGTGAAAGGATACGGAGTGCGTTTCCACTACACTATCGAGCCGCCGCAGGCGGAAGCCGGATAGGAGGAGAGTTAGGACCGGACATGGAGTGTCTGAGACTAGGGCCAACAAGTCCGGGTTGCAGAATCGGTGCCGGACTGAAGATGGTGCGGGTAAGGGTTCACGGAGTTCTAGAATGAGTCATAAGCGAACTCCGGGGCGGAGGAGCGTGCAAGCAAGCAGGTATGGGACACAAAGGAACAACTCCGGCACAGCCTTGGGCTGGGGTATAAATACTACAGCTAGTCTACCAAAATATCATCTCAGTTTCAGCCCACATCCTCACCTTCTAAGCCTTAGCCAGCTTAGGAGTAGCTAAATATCCGCCCCGAACATCACCTAGAGGTCACCCAGAGTCGTGTTACACAGTAAAGCGACCCCAGTACTCCCTCGCCGCCGTCAGACAGCAAACAGAGTTTATATTTCGGCATAAAAAGTTCAGCGCCGGAGAAATTGAACTGTTTATTCCTCCCCTACGCAAGTAGGGCAGTGAAATCTCTCAAACAGCACAACGAGGTCCTCGGAGTTCGTGTGTAGCTGCTAGCTAAGGAAGTTGGCGGTGCAGAGCCCACAGGAAGTCGCCTTCAGCAAGCGAACGGGTGAGAAGTAGAGAGAGGAAACTCCGTAGAGGCACAAAGAGGGGTAAAAGGAGGAGAAATTGCAGGAACGTTACCGTGAACACATAAAACCCCCAGTCTTACGATCTACAACTCAAAGATACTTCGGACAACTGTGGTTCGTGGTCCAGGAAGCCCCTAAATCCATATTTCACCTCGGACTTGACGAATTGGACCCCGCATCGCCTTCCAAAGCTCCTCCTCCGAGGAAGTGTAGAACAGATTCAATCTCCGTTAACCCGAGAAGGCTAACTAGGCGTCGGAGTTCGCTCGGACCACCCTAGCTAGTAGGATTTTGAACCAACTGTTTGAATCCTTGTACGGATATCCCCACCAATATTATTTAAACCTCCCTACGTACTTGTCTACCGCGACAGAACAAATTCCCCCTAGAGGACGAGCATTAAACATAGCCCGGATCTCCCCACCATCTGGCAGTTTAAAGCACCGCAGTCCGCATCACACTGTGAACATCCTCACAGATCTCAGTCTCGATGATTACCCCAAGGGCAGGACACTGAAGCCCTCTGCACCCAATACAGCCCCCGCTATCGTCAAGTGGTACAAGAAAGGTCGGCAGGCACTCTCCACGATCTGACTCCGTGTTGCTGATGGCCCGCTTATCTACATCACAAATTCGGCCACATCAAAAGACACGTGGGACACACTCGCCAAAACCTATCAGCCCAAAGGAGCTCTCACCATCGTCCTCCTGTGCCGGAAGCTCATGCAAGCACTCTGCCAGGAAGGCGGCGACATCGAGGAACACATTTGTAACCTCACATCACTCTGCACTCGGCTTGCAGCATTAAACTCACCACTCATGGAGCCAGAATTTTGCATCACCCTCCTCACATCTCTCCCTGACACCTGGAATTCATTCACCCAGGGTGTCGATACCAGCTCTCTCGATGATTCCACCCCACTCATCTATGCCAGACTGTGTATGGTCCCGTAACTGGCACCCTTCAACGGTTCAAGTCGATACAAAACATTAATTTTATATGGGGAGAAAGCCCCGATGGCATGCTTCTAGACCCAGTTTAAATTATAAATTCGGACAAGATTTGCATCCAGGAGATGGCAGACAAGTTGTGCCAAAATGAGCCTGGCCGGAAAAATAACGAAATTTCAAACTTTGAAGTCCCCTTAGAGCTTGATATTCACACCGCAAGGCACACCTTGTTAACACGATTCCAACATGCCTAATCTTGTGTGACTTGAGTGAGAATTGCACCTGCTACGGCCTGGCGTAGTTTACACATCAAAACTGTTCACCGAAGTCCTACATGCAAAATCAGCAAAAAATGAAACTCATAATGAAGCCTCGAGAGCGGTACTGTCAGGAGCGCCTCGTTAATGCATTTCGAACACATATAATTTCGAGTGATTTGAGTGAGAATTGTGCCCACTATGAGCTGGCATAGTTTAGACATCAAAATTGCTCTTCTTCTTCTTTTTTTTTCAGCGGACTGTCATCAATTATGCAAACAGCTGTAAAGTAACCAGTCCAACAAAGTTTTTTGAACAGTTTTGAACTAAAGTTTATTTTTTTCTGAAGTTGAAGAAAACTTTTTCTTCTCGAGTCAAATATGTATCTTTTTCTAGTGGACCTGGAAACATGTGCATCTTCATACAAAACATATTTGTCTGTGCACAAGTACTAAATGTCCCCAAGTGGTGGTCCTAACCCTAGCTGATACAGTGATCGGCATATCGCTTCACGTTCCACTCACGCGGCAACATGTCGCAATGTCCCTCGCCGCATGGACCATATAGAATGCACCCTCAAATATCTTACAGAGGATCCAGAATCCCTGCACCAGTGTACATTGGTAGGACACTTATGGAAACGTCAGGCATGCATCTTTCACACCATTTCCCTTGGTGTCGGTCTTCAGGAAGGGTTTGCCTCTGGCCTTCTGGAGCTACTGCCCTTGGGTCCGGTCGGAGATTTCTTGTTTGACCAACATCCCAATGATGTTTCTTCAAGATTTGCACTCGAACATTTTGGAGATGTTCAACCAACCTGTTTTATATGTCTTCGAATATGTTCAAGAATGGTCACGGCCAAATATTTGTAAAATAAGATGTTCAAATGGCGGTGTAGATGCGTGCATCTGGCGAACTGGCACACAGTGCTGGCATGGGTCCCTGCGGATCCGGCACATGGAATGTGTGATAAATGTGCACCGTTCAAATCAATTAGCAGAACCATTGAATGGATTTAGAGTGTTGCGGGATGGGATAGGCGCTGGCCGTAGATCAGAAGATGAATCACGATTCGGAGTTAATGGGAAGATGGACTTGGCCGATATGAGAGCTCTGCACAAAGTGCAAGACCTGATGTTTACGTGATGAGCGGGGGATCCTGGAACGACACCGAACCGTTACGAGAGATTCAGGGATCAATTAGTCTCGCTTGCAAACACAAACGGCTAGGGTTGATTAAAACTTGTAGAGAGGGAAGAAGACCGAGTTGGAACTCGGTTAGTTGAGCCGATTCACGAGGCTTTCAAACACCGAGGCCAGTAGTACTGGAGAGATAAAAAATTAGTGGAAGAGGTGGAGATGAATTACAATATTAATGGATCATAAATGTGGGGCCGAAAATCAAGCCTAGCGGGATAATTCAATTGAGTTGAATGGAGAGCGGCTTAGGATGGGATCGGTACTTGTGGAAGGTAGCACGAGAACTAGTGCCAACACGGAGCCGATGAATTTTGATGGACCGAGGCCCGCACGCGGCAATGGAGATCGGTTCAGAACTTGAAATATTGCGAGACCAATTAGTATCAACCTTACGACGAAACGCAAGGGTACGACTCGGAAACCGAAACCCTAGAGCTTTAATAGAAGTGTGTGAAGTAATCAAACCTCGGGCTGAACGGGCTGAGCCGAGAAGCGAAATTTCCGATTGGTTTTCGAGTGGCGAGGCTAGTGGTTTCGGCTAAATTGACACCAGAAAATGTGCATTGGAACATCCGCATAGAATATGGCGGCCGCAATTGTAGCAGCTCGGATTACCGGCCGAGGAAAATCCTAATTGAATTAATTCCCATCCTGGGAGACTTGCTGTGAATTCCTGCTCGCGGCATAATTCCAGCGAAATACTCGAACCACGGTAGCGTCGAGCGGCAATCAAGAAGTCTAGCAAGTGCGCCGCCCAGTCGCTAGTAGTCCTTCTTTCCCCGCGGATTTAGAGTAGTCTCCGCGTCGTCATAGTTGGCCAGATCATAACCGTTGAATGTTCCGTCGTGAGAGCTCGCACGGGGCTGCCAAAATTGGACGGGGACCCACATGTACGCCTCGCACGCGGTGACGCCATAAGAGTCTCGTAGTACCCTCAGACTGATGCATCTTGTGTTGGGCGCGGATAGATAGCATATCCACGGGCACTAGGGATTACATCTTGGATGGCAGCGGAGGGAGTTGGAGCGGCGGGGCGATGGAAGTGAGTAGAATTCCAAATGGACCCCACGCGCACGTCGACGGCGAGTGCACATTTGGAGATCGATGTCAAGAGGTATCAAAACTGAGCTACATAATCCTTTCGCACGGGCCTTCTTTGACGCCACACACGCTCCGCCGACGGTGGAAGGCTAAAGCTAGCGCTAAAAGTTTCACGTATTGAAACCGTCCGCCACAGGCAACCTTGCCTCCTAGGGCGTAACCAGGGCCCGTGGCCCTGTGCCTGTCTCATCGAGCTGTTGTCAGTCTGACTCGTCTCCTCAGCATCTCTTCAGATCTCGGCTACTATGCGCTGTCTCGCTCTGGCAGCGCGGGACCATTCTCCCAGAAGCAGCGATCGCCTCACATGGCTCAAACATCAAACATTCGCACTAATATTAGCAACGAGAAGAAAGCTAGAACCCGCACGCCACTTCCATCTTCCTTCCCTCAGGTGCCTGCCTGCCTTCCATTCTTCCTCTCTCCACTGAACCACCATGTCTCGCATGCACACCCCCGTACCCGACGCTGGGCCATCCAAGCCGTGGATTGACCCCGCAGCTCTCCCAGACGACGGCGCCATCGACCTCGCCTCCATCGGCGGCAACGCCCCTGC